GCATGCATTGGATGGATTCTTAATCTGTTGCACTGAAGGGTCCCAATGTGTTTCACCATTCAGAGCCAGATGTTAATATTCATACTCATGTTGATTAAGACCTGAGATCAGATTGAATTTAATGTGATTTCTTGTCTCTGTTCCTCTGACTAAAAAGGGGGGAATATATAGCTCCCTTTCAAAATGCTTTCAGATCTAGAGATGAAAGATGCTCTGCAGATCTAAAGAGCACCACTCCTCTGAGCGGCTAATTCCACGCAGTCACATTCATAGCTAAAATTGGTCTGAAAACTGGCTTAAAAAGAGCAATTTCCAGCACCGCTGCCACTTACCTCAGTCACCATAGTTAGTCCCAGAAGATAGCTAAGGAAACATACTATAGCGATGAAGATTTCCCGTCGGTAACCCTTCCTTAGGAAGGATGGGTGCAGATCAACTAATGACGTGATCTGTCCTTCAACTTCAACAAACTAAAGGGGGAAAACAACAACAAAGAAACGTGACTTGAAAATTACCTGCCATGCATTTTATCTGGGCTCATACTTGAACAAACACTCCACAGCAACACCCTCACTGTACTCTATGGCAAAATACTGCTCTGAATAAATACATCAGAAGCCATTCCTTTGTAACCCAGAGGTTGAAGTGTGGGGGTAGTTTTCAGGTTGGAATAAGCTTTCAGAATTGCCTAGTAGCCTCACGAACTACCAAAGGGGCTCTGTAAATGCAAGCTGCAAGGACAGAGGAAGTTAATTTGATGACAGGAAGGCACTTATGTGGCTTTTATGTTGTAGCTGTTCCAGATGAATACAAGATGTATGCTAGAAAAGAGGCAGAGAGAAAACACTCAAAAAAGCCTGAGCTAGGAGAGTACCTCCCAGCCTTTTTTTTGATGTGCCAGAAAATCTCACAGGTACTAGTTAGGTTAGTTCTGCAATTGGATATAATTCTACTCTTGGGTTCGCTAGTGAAAATCCAGCCAAGGGAAAGCAGACTTTGATGTGAAATAGCAGCACTTCTTGACTGAACTTGCTTTTTCTGAACCTTTGAGCTGAGGGACTTCTACAGCTGTACATACAGATCCCATACAAAGATTTGATAAACTATTTCCATGTGTAAACCAAAAATGAAACTCTGAATAGATGAGCTAAAAATGTTACTTTATCTAGCTTCATGATAACTGTATTTGTACTTACTTGCCATTGGAAAACTACATGTAAGATGTGTAACTTGAGTTAACCAAATAACCCAAACTGGATTTGAATAAAAGTTTAAAGTTAATCGACAACCAGATACATTTCAACCATGGAGAAAAGCGACTACTGAACTCCCCTCAAACAAATCCAAAGAAGGGATCATTCAGCGGATTTGTACTTTCAGCCTGGCAAGGTTCAAAAGCACCAAGTCACTGAGGACATGAGGATACCAGAGAACCAAGGCTGCCTCTGCAGAAATCATCTTCACTCTAAGTGCATACATCATCTTGTAACTAATGAGTTACCATGGAGAGTGTATGAAATAGCACTATTTCAAGAAAAGCTGTCTTTTCCTACCCAATACCTATATTGCTCTTACAGTGCCCTGTGACAACTCTACCCTCTTTGACCACGAGCTGAAGCTCCATTTTGGAAATAGAGACTGTCCTGCAAACACTCCACCGGATTTTGTTGCCTCCTATCTTGTTACTTTGACTCTGTAAAACTGGTTTTCTTTTTAAATGGAACCCTTTCCTTTGGGCTGATTTGATCTTAAACTGCTCCAGCATTCCAGAAACCTGCTTGACTGCACTCCAAAAAACAGAGGGGTGGAGGACAGAAATTAAGCGCTCCAATTAGTTTTAATCATTCTATGCAGTGAGGAGCTTTTTAAAATGACTAGACAGTTTCCAGTTTGCATAAGCACAGGGTTGTTGAACTAGCATCAGGCACTTTTACATTTACTTTGGAACGACTGAAAGTTGCTCACTAGAGTTCAAAGATTAAGCTGTAAAGAGCAGTTCAGGGCAAATGGAACATCAAAAATGTAAGAGATTAAGTACACAACAATTGGGTAAAAATCCATTTATAGATCTCTCCTCATACAAGAGAGCATTTAGCCTAAATGAACATTTCATCCTTACCAATTGTGTTTTTACAATCTTTCTTAGGGACTTTCCATTTGAGTGGTGAAAGCTGCCTGTTGCCTTGAAAACTGCAGCAATTCTTAACGTGCAGTTACTTCATAATCCCTGGTCACCCATGTTTCCTTGTAAGTGGACTATCTAGAAATGATTTACAGGTTCCTTTGAGGTATTTAGTCCAACATTCCTATAAGCAACCACTGGGAAAAATAACCTAACTTCTTGGACTGAACTTCTTGATTTTTTATGCTCACTAATTAATAGCAGTGTCTGCTGTATAATTAGTACAGCTGGAACCCAAGATGCTTTCTGGATCATTTGGAGGTCCTGAATGTGTGCTGGTGATGTGAAAGTCAGCAGGATTCCACATTGCTCAGCAGCTCCGAGCCTAAGGCCACTGATAAAGGCTGTGGCTTTGTCCTCCTACTGTTCATGAAGCCACCCTGACTACACTGTACAAAACATTTCGTGCTTTTTGTGCCTCACGATGGTTTTGCTTTTCTTTTTTGGCACTTGGCAACTATCAAAGCCTGTATTCCTAGTAGTTAGTAATTCTCACAAAGTGTTTTAATGATGGTGTATACACACTGCAGGTGATCACAATGGCACAGAGTACTCTGTGGAACAGACTGCTGTAGTCCTTTATGTTTTAAAATGATAAAGCTCTTCTCCAAAGTAGGAAAATATAGCATGGCAACCAAAAGTGGTAGTTTGCGGTCAGACTGGGACTGATACTTAGGTTAGGGAGTCTTGTGGACTCCATTAACTCCTGATGACAAAGACTTACTGAGCAACATCATACTATGAATCAACAGTCACAGACTCATCAAAGGCATCCCCTGCACTAAAAAGCCACCCAGATTAATTCCTCTTAAGCAGCATCAGATATTCCCTTCTTAACTCATGCCTGTAAAACCAGCTTTTCTGTCAGCAGCGCCGATACAATAAGCCACATATTTCTTGCACATCATACTAACCTGGCTATCCAGTCCAAGCAACAGAAGCATAATAAAAAAAAGGATTGCCCAAAAGGTGGGCAGTGGCATCATGGACACGGCTTTTGGGTAGGCAATAAAGGCCAGGCCTGGACCTAGAGAAAGAGAAAATAGGAAAGGGGAAGGGAAGGGAAGGGAAGAGAAATAGTAAGTACCAGCTCTTTG